CAAGAGAGCCCAGTTCGTCAGAGATCCGTTCCGGTTCACAAAGTCATTGTTGGGAGAAGCGAAGTCAGGTAGACTAGCCAGCGGCAGAGAAGAAGTAGAAGAGTTTCTGAGAGAGGCACACAATGACGAGTTGAGGCACGAAGCTCTAGAGGAAAATTCGAGAATCAAGTCGGTGCCAGTACCAACCAAACCTCTGGATACAAGTGAACCAACGTGGAAGGAAGTTCAAGATGTGGTTAGGAAAGCTAGAGCAGGGTCAGCTCCTGGCCCCAGCGGGATCCCTTACAAGGTCTACAAGAAGTGCCCTTTGCTCCTGCGCAGATTGTGGAGGCTTCTACGACGAATATGGGGGAAGGGAGTCATTCCAACAAGCTGGAAGAGAGCAGAGGGGTGCTTCATCCCGAAGGAAGTAGACTCCTCCGTCATCAACCAGTTCACAATTTCGCTCCTGTGCGTTGAATGCAAGATTTACTTTTCTGTTCTGGCTAGAAGACTTGTGACCTACATAACTGAGAACCAGTACATAGACACGTCTGTGCAGAAGGGAGGAATCCCGGGTTTCTCCGGTTGTCTGGAACATACGGGTGTGCTAACCCAGGTGATAAGAGAAGCCAAAGCAAACAAGTCGGACTTGACAGTGGTATGGCTGGACCTGGCTAATGCGTATGGTTCTATCCCTCACGGCCTTATCCAGGTGGCGCTGGACCACTACCATGTCCCAGCAAGCGTCAAGGGCATGGTCACCAGCTACTTTGGAGGGATCCAGCTTCGCTTTAGAACAGCTGACTTCACAACGCAGTGGCAGAACCTGGAGAAGGGGATTGTGACAGGATGTACTATCTCGCCAATTCTCTTCATCATGGGAATGAATCTACTGATAGATGCGGCAGCTACCAAAGCAAAGGGCCCCAGGATGAACTCTGGTTCAAGGCAGCCACCAATAAGGGGGTTCATGGATGACATCACTCTTACTACTGTCACCCATGTAGAGGCAAGATGGATGTTAGCAGAGCTAGACTATATGGCAACGTGGGCAAGAATGAGGTTCAAGCCGAAGAAGTCAAGGTGTATGATAATCAAGAAGGGGAAGGTAACCAGCAGGTTCAAGTTAGAAGTACAAGGAGAACCCATTCCATCCATAGTGGGAAACCCGATCAAGTGCTTAGGGAGGTGGTTTGACGATTCACTAACAGACAGACACAACGTTGATTGCACCGTGCAGCAGACCGAGGAGTGGTTGAGAAGGATTGAGAAATCGGGTCTTCCGGGGAAGTTCAAGGCTTGGTTGTATCAGCACGGGTTGCTGCCGAGACTGATGTGGTTGCTCACGGTGTATGAATTACCGTTGTCCAGGGTAGCTGAGATCGAGAGGAAAGTCAACAAACACCTCAGGAAGTGGTTGGGCATACCCCCGAGCTTCACCGCGGTAGGCCTGTACACGAAGTCAGGACAGTTACAGCTTCCCCTGTCGTCAGTGGTAGAAGAGTACAAGGTTGCCAAGTGCAGAACAGTTCTCCTGTACAGTGATTCGCAGGACCAGAAAGTCAGGGAGGCAGGAGTAACAACCAGGGCAGGCAGAAAGTTCAAGGCCAACGAGCTCGTCGCACAAGCCAAGAGTATGCTGTTGATAAGGGACATAATTGGTGCCACAAACAGCGGGAGACAGGGACTTGGGTCTTCACATTTCCAACAGTGGGGGAAGGCTAGCAAGAAAGAGAGAAGGGCGATGGTTCAGACTGAAGTAAGACAGCTGGAGGAGGAGGGGCGCAGAGCCAAGGCAGTGGCGTTATCGTCCCAGGGGGCATGGACGAGATGGAACCTACCTAGTAGGAAGCTGACTTGGGCCGATGTGTGGAAGCTGGAGCCCTTCAGAATCTCCTTCTTGCTCAGGTCTGTTTATGACACTCTTCCCTCTCCGGCTAACTTATGCAGGTGGAACCTGAGGGAGGACCCAGCATGCAAACTGTGCGGTGAGAGGGGCACGATGGCCCACATCCTTTCTGGTTGCAAGGTTGCCCTCGCCCAAGGGCGCTACAGATGGCGCCATGACAAGGTGTTAGCAGTGATAGCAGAACTTCTTGAGCAGCAGAGGAGGAAGAAGCGCCAGGATAGGCCCAGACCAGATCTAGCAATGACCTTCGTGAGAGAGGGAGAAGTGAAACCGGCAGCAGGAAGAAGGGATAACAGCATCTTGCAGAGAGCGAAGTCATGGGAGCTGAGGGTGGACTTAGGTAGGAGAATGCACTTCCCCCAGGTTGTTCAAACGAACTTGCGTCCTGATGCTGTCCTGTCATCTGAAGACGGGAAGAAGATCGTCATGATCGAGTTGACTGTTCCCTGGGAGGAAGGTTGTGAGGAAGCCAACGAGAGGAAAAGAGCAAAGTACCAAGACCTGCTGCAGCAGTGTAGGGACAAAGGTTGGCAGGCTTGGCTTTTCCCAGTTGAAGTAGGGTGTAGGGGTTTCCCAGCACAGTCGGTGTGGAAGATGCTGTCAGCTGTAGGAATAACAGGAAGAGACAAGAAGGTAGCAGTGCGCAAGATGGGCGAAGCAGCAGAAAGGGCGTCATGCTGGCTTTGGTGTAGGAGAGAAACAACAAGCTGGAAACCGGGAGGAGCGGACGAGCAGTGACTTGGCCAACACTGCTGGGCCCGGCAGCCTGAGGGTGTAACGGAGTAGGGCCCGAAACATCCGGTGACAGCTGTTCCGTCTGAAGACATCCAGCTCCTCTAAGTGACAGCACTCCTCTAACCAAGGTAAGAGGAGTTTCAAAGCATCTCGATGTATTTCCAAACCGCTAGATCTAAAACCCATTACAAAAGAAAGTGTTCACACCCAGCTCAGGTGTCTACTAAAAATAAGATCAGGCAACATTCTATTTCTGTAAAGGGTATCAGCTGGATTGTCAATAGCTTGGTAATTCTCAAGTGTTCTAATTTGTAGAAATAAACCATTGTTATTTTCATCCACAAAACATCAAAGAAGTCATCTTGCTTTGATAGGTGATGATTCTTGACAGCAATTACCCACATCAACAACTTTCTGCACAAGCACACTTCCTCATGTCATTTCATTTTTGTTCCCATCGATTTTCTTGTGCAAGTCTTGTCCTTGCAATGATCAAAGTACAAATGGTTTATATTTCCATTTCCACGAATATCTTTGCCTTAGGTCCCTGTTAATGCAATTATGATTATGGAAAGAAGGACTTAGCATAATAATATAACTATTCTATTTCAAAGGTTATAAGGCATATTTAGGTATGCTGGCATACTAACAGTTGAATAATTTTGTAGGAGCCTAACTAGCCACACAAAGGTTGCTGCAGCATCACGACACAACCTGCATTTGCTACATAGACTGCTTTTGTCCTGCACTCACGAACTTCTGTCCTCATATTTCACATCAAAGTGTGCGGGGGTGGGGTGATTTTCTCTGGTGTTCAAAGTGCTGGGGAGTTGAAATGCTGCTGGCAGAGAACACTATCACCTATGGGTCTATGTTTAAATCCAGGCAAAAATGCACTTGCACCCTATCTACAGAATCCAGGCACTGACTACCAGTCATTAAGGGTCTAGGAATGTCATGATATACTGTTATATATGTTAACCTCCCATGGAAATGTTTACTCTGAAGTCTGATGGCATTTCATACTTGTGGAAACTAGAAAATGTATATGATTCACTTGATGCTTAACACTGTTAACTAGTCTCCTCTCCTTTGCCATTACAAAGTCATAGTCTATAATTATTATAACTTGCTCTTGTACTAAATATATAGCTCAGCTATGATTAGATACATATCTTACTTTTGAAAAATGCATTCAGACCTCTTTTTCTTAGACATCAAGTTTAACAGAATTGTAAGTGTTACGATGTCAGTACTACTTTGTAGATTGATGGTACGTGTACAGTATAAGTATTATAGTCATTTGACAAATGATCAAATGCACTGAGACATCTTCAGTAAATGTTGCAAGGAGAAAAGGCATTCAGTATGAAAAATTTGCTGTTACATAATAGCAACAGCAACATAACAGCAGGTTCCAAAAAGATTGAAATCTTCATTACCATTGAAAAACATTTACTGCTATGATAATAGATTTACCTTTTAGAATTTCACCGCTATCAAATCTCCATAGCACCGCATATGTCCCAGCTACATAGAGTCTTCAAAACCACCTTACAAAAGGTTTTTCACTTTCTGACCAGTATGACTGAAATGAAGATCACTATGACTGATGATGTTGTGCTGAGTACATGCATTATGACACACAGTTAAAAGGAAGTGGAGTTACCATGAAATCCCCAGCAAACCATCACGGAATCATACGGAAGCCTTCACTTCCTCTTCACAGAAAGCAAACTGTTGAATACCTTTAGCTGAGAGGTTACTAAATACAGGTTTGCTGCCCTTGGAATTTTGGCCAGCTCACAATGTCAAGGGTAAATTTTCATGAATCTTTATCAAGGAGTACACAGGGGCCAAGGGGAAGAGAAGGTGATGTGTTTGAGGTCCTATCCGGATTCTGAGATTGAATCAAGGGTTCTTAACTATGTGATATAGCTAAATACCAAACCCAGGTAACTAAGTAGGGTAGGCTATCATATTCAGTCAGCTAGCAAATGGAGGTTTTATGCATTGACCTGTTACTAACTAAAGTTGTCATTTGGAACCAGGACTGGACAGAACTAGTCTTCACCAAACTAACAACGTGGGCTGAAAAACAGGAAAATTTCACCAGACAGGGAGAATAATTTGCCAGGGGAGTTTGGCCACCATAGAGTTCATTTGGCCACGCTGAAATTTCCGAGGGGAAATGTTACCCTTATCGGCACCCACTCACCTGGCCAATTATCGACCCTATTTTTGTTGAATTCTAGTCCATAACCCCTTGGGAAGGCCCGTAAAGGCTAGGATAGAATTGTACATCAAAGGAGGCAGGCTCTCTCTGAGTGCTTTTTTTTCTAGTCTTGTAGTACAACCATGACTTATGACTTACCTTTAAAAGCATTATCCAATACTCCTTGTCCCAGGTCCTCAAATACTCTTCTCTGAGAGGAGTACTTTGACCCTGGCTGGGCCTCCAGATACCCATCGTCTTTTTCATTGTATCCATCATGAGACCTGTAAAAGCAGAACATGTTTTATGAGTATTGTTTCTGGACAGATAGGGAAGGATAATGGAGTGCATTTGTATAAAAAGTTGGGCACAATGTTTTTTCTTGGGTCAACGGCCGGGGGTGCTTCTATTTCAGTCTCTAAAACTTTTGTGCAGAATTTCATGACCACAGCTCTACTGGACAGGTGGAACTGTGTATGCTGCATTCATATATTATACACGCCATACAAAGGATGGCGTAGACTAAACACTATTGAACTGTCTACATTGTTATGGTACAAACTACAGGTGCACAAAAGTATGATGCCTAAACACACTGATCTCAACTTTGTACAACTTCTGTGGCTTTCTAGCACAAACAATATTATCAAAGCCTTTAAAACTCTCTCTCTGTGTCAGTCAGTCTTGAATTTTTAGACTTTGAACTTATAAACTGTGTAAATCTAGATGGTACTGTACTCAGTGACACTAAGAATCCTTTACAAATCAGATTTAAAACTAACAATGTAAAAAGAACATGCAGTGTGCACATCCCAGCATTTCTACGATAACATCCAACCACGTAGGCAACCTCAAACTTGCTCCAGGCTAGGTAACCCAATGAGACAACATGTACATGTAATTACATGGAACACGTTATATTGTTTTCAAGATATCTTAGATAGTATCTTTAGACTGCTGGTTTTCTTATTGCAATTGGGTTGAACGCAATGTCAAAGTGCTTCTACAAATTACGGTACTCACATTCTCCATGTCAAATTTGTATTACATTATGACTGTATATCAACATTCTCAAAAGAGGAAAATCATGGAAGCTATTTCTACTTTCCTGCACTGGACCAGACAATTACATTCTGTATGTCAAATATACCACAGAGTTTCCGACAATCTGTATGTATGTATGTACCAAATACTCAGTTCAGACAACATAAACTGAAGAATCAGGGAGCAATAATATTGATCTTTACAGTCTATAACCAGTAATTGTGTAGAGATAAGCAGCAAACAGTTCAGCCCTTGTCTCAGAACTTAGCTCAAAGTAATGAGTTGCATAAAAAATCTGTAATCAATTTGCTTGTCAGATAGAAATGAGAAAATAACTTGATAGTAATAGAATGTCTCCAACTTCTGTGCATAGATTACGATCTTGTATGCTAAAACTATGGTGATTTAAACTCCCTTCTTTTATGTTTCCTTACCAACATTGGTGATCAAGATAGTCATGTTATTGTTGCTAGGTAGACTCCTAGTGATCAACCATCTAAAATGTCTTATCTTTAACATAATACGTCATCATCCATGTGGAATTAAGTATCTTAATGAGATTAACGCGCGTTATATGCCACCAGAATGAGATTCAAAGGGTAAACTTCTGTCCCTACAATGTATGTATTGATGTATTGACAACTTATAAGACTTTATACCTGATGGCCTAGGTGATAATATTGAATCAGGTGGTTCTCATAACTGATAATATCGACTTATATCATGTGAATGCAATAAAAATCATTATCTGTACTGTACTTTACCCCCAAAATATGGCATGAATAAACATTTCTAGATTTGCCGGCTCTAAATTTCACTTATGACAGCAAGAATATTCACAAAGCAAACATTGCCATTGTCAAATATTTGTGATTGACATGTGCAACAAAAAGTGCTCCCTAAATTGTTATTTCTTTGAAATGAATTCAATTAGTGTTTTGACAATCTCCAAACAATTTTTCCCTGCCATTCTTGGGCTCAAGAAAAGGAGGTCTTTTGTCATTTTGACATGACTGTATGGCATGACCCCATTACGCTTGATACAATACCAGAAAAAAACGATGTAAATATTTTATGAGCTCAAATGACGTATAATTCTATAGGTTTGGAAGGGTAAGTCATGCAAAAAAACTTATCACTATTATATGTCTGACATAACTGGGTGAAAATTACAAAGGCCTGGCCACAGTCTAACCTACTTCTGTCTATTGTATTCTGGAAAGCAACAAGTATATTATGTATTACAGTTCTGGTAACATTATAAAAAGTCAGTAGCATAGTATGTTCTTAAGGAATATAATTTTTTCTACAATTTTATAACTCATAATTAAATAGGTTATGGCAATATGTACTTACCAATATGAGAAGTCAAATGTGAACTGAAAAGGGACAGAAAAAAATATGTTAATACTTAATATACATATATGTTGTACATTACATTACAACACAATTGCACCAATGTAGTCTTGTAAAATTTAATAGATACCAAAAACTGAGTTAAAGATACTTAGTATCATTTGTATTCTGTATTGTTAGGATTGCATAATAATGATTGCATGTTCCTAAACTTTAAAAAAAAACCCACGAAATATATATATAGCAAAGAAATTCTAGTCTATATGTACAATCTGACAACCTGCCAATTTGTTGGGTTCTCTATGCATGTGTGTTCTGAATTGTCACGAACTTCCTTTCTGTTACTTTTTACCAGCCACACTTCTTACAACTTGGTTTGAGGTTGACGAAATTAAAATTCTAAATGTTTTCTTGTTGGAGACACCAAAATTGATTTTGTAGAGGACATATAATAAAATCCGATGTCAATGTAGGCTGTCAAAAAGGACCTTTGCTATTTGCATAACACTTTACACAGGGACCGCGTTCCTAACAACAAAAGAAAACATGGCTAAGGAGAATGCCACTAAGTTGTAAGATGACGCTGGGGCTTTTGTTCCACCATTTGGACCTCACCCCTGTTTGGTGGTGCCAATTAAAATGTCTGAGGAAGGGTTACTGTTCAGTAGTTATGGGGGTTCCATGGCGTATTCAACTGGCCAGGATGTTTCTACAACAAACAGAAATACTGTAGACAAAATGTCTGGTGTAATTTACTTGAATGATGAAAGAGCATTTCTTCTGTCTACACTTCAGACATTGTTGTCACCTTTCACTCACTTTCAACTGATAACCAGAGTGAAAGACATTTTTTGTCCTTCCAAAGCCATGATTGTGATTTCGATTGAGCAGGTGAATGGAATTAGATTGCACTCATAATTATTGATCACAGATGTTTTTGATCAAAACATATAAAAACAGACAACTTTGAATGAAAGTTCTGCATTGTTCAAATATTAGCAACTAGGTACATTTTCCTGCTGTTTTACCACAATTTCCTGGTCATGTATACTAATCTAAAAAGTTGTGTAAATCTACATCGTCAGAGCAGAGTTTATTTCACAGCCACTGATTATGTAGAACAACCAGTGCGTGGACAGTCTAAGCAGATTTTCAGGTTCCTGCCACTTAGCTTCAGCGCTGTTTCCATAACAAAGATATACAACAGGTGAGGCAAACAGGGGTGGGGTCAGCAATTGTCATCTCAACAGGTGGGTGGCACCGCTCACCCAACACACCAAACCCTCACACATGAAAATCCTCTCCCAGTTATTCTTCAAAGATTGTCAGTTTAACAAGTCTTGTCTCTGGTCAGTGTCGTCCCTGACCTTCTCCCAAACCATGCATAGACATGAGATTCCGTTTACAGGGGACGGAATTTGGGGCAAGTAATGTTTTACTGCTCGTAAATTTCTCTGGTCTCCTAGGATACTGTACTCCATTTACAAGCAGGTTTTGCTGCACTCATTCTTATGTAATGAGAAGAGTGACCTGCTTTCTGGAAAACATTCTTCCTATGAGAGAAACATTGTTGTTGAACAGGCCAACAGAGTTCTCAATAGAACTTGGAAGACTTGCCTCTTAGAATGTCCTTACAAACTTTTGCATATGCTAATTATGTGTAATTTCAGTTCTCTTCCAAATGAATGAAACATTGGGTACTGGTATGCTACTCTCTTACAATTACATCAGACATAATGACATTAACTGTACAGTCACGACTACCACTTGAATTATTTGCCTTGGCTTATCAGCTAACAAATTTGGAAATCATATACAGTCGTACTTTGTGTATACTAGTGTGGTGTACAACAATAAGGCAGTTGTCTATATTCTATAAATCAAATGCCAGAAAATTCCAGATTATATTATTGTTTGACCATCGCAATGATCCTGATTTGTTGCCTTTAATCTTCAGTAATTACGTCAGTGTAACACTGTTTCTTGTTAAGTGCCCCCAGGTAAAACTGTACAGGTGAAATCCAACCAGTGATTTATGTTAAGGGCACTGACCTAGAGAACGCTACATGAAAGGTAACACCACTACCCATCAGGTGCTACCCGATGAAATTTCAATTTCCTGCTCAAGTGAGCGCATTTCCTGGGAAGCTTCATTGTTGTAAGCTGCAAAGTCATTCCAGTTCAAAAAGCAATCGTCAAACACCAGTATAGTAGCACTTTTTTACATAATGATTCATATCTGAGTCACCAATGCTCCAAAACTGGGCTAAGTACAAATCGCATTTTCCAGGCAAAATTCCTTCCAGTGCCCACGCCAATGATGATACAATACCAGTTAAAAGTAACAACGACCCTGGACACATTTACTTGAAGGACAAATTTAAGTTCAATTGTTATTTCCTTAACAACTACATAGGCCTATGTTATAAAATCACATTTACTTCAAATTACATCTTAAAAGACGCCAGGAATATGTTTCCGACTTCTTCCTTCCGTATTGCAGTTCTTCATTCCTTCTAAAGGTTTTCCTAATTGTTAAACCCCCACCCCCGCACTTTATAAAAGGACCAAGGAGGTTAGACTCTTTCTCAAGGAAAGTTTGGCACAGTATTCTACACTCTAAATGTACAGCACTTGACAGATTGCCTTTTCATTCAAAATGTCTTTGAAGTTCAAGTTAAATTCTACAACAGTGACAAAGATCAATATCTAAGCCTGTACAAGTAGGCCCGACTACGGAGGCAAAGTACAATCAACAAACGACTGAATTCAATTACAGTGTTGCACAAGTTTAAGGTCAATTTTCTTGTGCTCAATAAAACTTCAAAGGAACTGACATATACCTTTTTGGGTTCTTCATCTGTTGGTGCAAGACACATGCAAAAGAAAAGTGATTAGATTAGAACAATGGAAGAACATTTGGCTCATTGCAATTCAAAACTGTTAATGTTTACAATTACATCCTAGCTTGGCACTGAAACAAAGAAATGGAAATGTGACACTACTACAGTTCAGAGAGGCAGTGAAGCAGGAAAACAATAACGAAGATGTGATAATGGCAGTAACCATTTGAAAAGGAAATTCATCCTCTAATAACAAATTCAAAGCCATTTGCAGTGCCAAGAACACACTCCATTTTCCTCTCTTTTATAGAAATGTTTAAAGCATGTCTGGTACGTGCAAAACAAGTGACAGTGAAAGAAAGAAGAAAAAAAACTTTTTCAGACTGTTGTTCAGAACTGTCTGCTGGCATTCTTCAGCATTTTTAAGATCTCTCCAGTTTCTTTAAAGAGTGTTCAATAGATTCATTGAAGCATGTGCAGTGCACACAAAGACGGTGGAAGCACTACGCTCCCTTGCAACATGTTTCCATGGGCTCTGATCGTTTATTAGGGATGATTGCAGTGGAGGTCAGAGCTATCTATTCATCTTTTGGTTTCAAGTGCTTTTTGGACATAAAAGGCATTGAGTAACAACAAAGCTAAACATTAAGTAAATTACTAAAATACTAATATAATATGAAATAAATATTTGAAGAATGGTACATTCTGTTAACATTACATACAGAAGATAACTTGGAGCATAAAAATCATCCTTTCGTTTTATGCGATGAGCAGCTACTAAAACAAAGTGTCTCTGGCCAAATACTTTTATGTGGTGGCTGTGGCCACCAGGATGGTATGTGGCCGGAAGGACATAAAAATGATAAATAGGAAGCAAACTAGGCTACTCAAACAGTCCAAACAGATCCAGCCAAAGAGAGATGGAAATAGCTGTGATGAGTTTGATTGCTCAAGTCATCCTTGTTACAAGAAAGAAGCCTTTTGGGTGAATAATTTTTGTAAGAAAACTTGGATTATATGCAAACTGGAGAGAATCAAGTTTTTGGTGTTATTTTTGTCACTTGTGAACAACAGTAAACATGCTTTGCCACAATGAAGTGTAGTTACGCATGCTGTGGGGAAGAAACGTTCAAGGACCCTTGAATTAAACATCGTGAAAACAAGGGCGGTGCCATTTGATTACCGTGTCTAGTGGAGATATCCTGTACACCTGTACAACTCAAGTCAACTTAAAACCTCTTGAACTAATAACCTCACCGCTTGGTCTTACCACAGGGGCCTCTGAAAACGATAAGAAAACTGTGGTTTTTGAGACAAACTTGTGCGGGTACCTGTCCCGCGGGACACTTACTCGGTGTTTCGGGGTTTTGGATGGTTGTCATCGCCCCGTTCATGTCAATAATCAACTTGGCACCTCTGTCCTTCTCCCTACAGACAACAGACACCATAAAACGTTAAAAACATTCCCTAGAAACGCACCACGAAACTCAAAAGAACTGGATACCAACGGAGGAATGTGAATGAATGTCGGTAACACCCGCCAGGTACGACGAGAGAAACCAGGAAGCGCGGAGAACGGACTCACCTTTGGTTGAAGGGACGACATCGGACAGCCACCTTCACCCTGCAGACGACAAAAAACACAGATACTGTCAGTTTTGGGGGTACAGCCTACTTGAAACGCAACACAACAACCTTCCTGACAGGACACAGACTTACCCTTGGTCCGACATGGTTGCTGTAGGAGTGAAGAGGAGAGAAAGTGGGGTTTAAGCGGTTGTATTTGCGCGCTCAACGTGTTGCTGATCTCTGGCACTCTGGTTCCTGGCTGCGGGAGCTGTGGTCGTAACTTAGATACAGCGGTACGTCACTTCCGGGTGTCAGAAGTGTGATTAGGCGAGCTGACTTTGGAATGAAGGGGTGGCAGCATACAAAAAATGTTTGAATTTGGATCGGAAATGGTAAAAAAAAGTTTTTATAATTCAGACATAAAGTAATGAATGGATTATTGAACCACCTCGGAGTCAGTTATGGGCATGATATCGACCTTGACGTTGGGTGGTCTAGTTTCCTTCATCATTAATGATCACTAATGAATAAAAATATTCAATTAGATCTATGGCCAAAAAAATCTATGGCGTTGCTCATTTTGTTGGATGTCATTGAATTTAGATATGACTCAACGGTATCTTTTTGTAGCTTTTACAAAGATCTTGACAATGGCGTAAAGCACAAGTAACGTTACTCGCACCGACTCACGATGGCACCCACTCACAACCCTCGACATTTTCTCGGGCGGAAGGGTCATTGCTCATCAGCCTCCGTCCTTTCTCAGCCACACAAACTTTCCAAATGAAAGGAGTTCCGCCACTGTTCGGCACCGGCGTTCCCACAACTGCAGAACCGGCGATGAAAGCTGACGAAAAATAACGTTACAGACTTGTTGCGAACTGGTGGGCTCAGTCGGGACAAAACGGTGGCGGTCCTCCTGTGTCCTTGGTATTAAAGGGCGCCATGGGGACACGTCCTTTCCCACAAATAGATGAAAGAAGGCACGAAAATCGTAACTCTCCTCGCTGTCCGATAAATCAGCCTGACCTTCACCTCCAGACAGCCGACTGAGAAAGGAAGCCGGGAGGGCCCCTGCCGAAGTCGGCGTGGCTTCTTAGCCCCGTCTTGCCATCTCCTAGAAACCCTTTGATTCCGTACCCTTGACTCCTTGGTGCGGTGGGTAACTCGTATTTTCATTTGTCAGGTTGTGGTCCAAAATCTCCCCCGTGGAGAGGCAGCCCCGAAAGGCCAAAAATACCAGGAAAGTCCAGTTTGACAGCAAAGCCACAGTGAGGTACTACAGTGAGGAGGGGCAAGAGGTCGTTTGCGAACCGAATGCTGTTTTATGAGAAACAGATGTTCCTTCCTGTTGACTGCTGCTACTGGTACCAAGGTCCGCAGCACAACCTCGATCCTTGCTGCATGCTGGTACCCATTGAATGCAATGGCTTTTGGCGCTGTACGACCCAAACATCATAAGAAGTTATGATATTATATCACTATAGTGATAGTTATGCCAATACCTTCTTGCTTTGGCACAATATAGGTATTAACTATTAAAACAAAAGCGTGAACGCAGATTGCTGGAAATTATACCAATTATGGACGAATTAGCCAATGGTTCGTCCGTAGCCGCTAGCCGTGTGTCGTCAATGAGATTGGACTTATGCATAGTAAATAGACCGTTCAAAATCATATTATAAAGCTGACACTTTTTTTCAGATCTGCGCATCTTTCCGCTGATCTCTGATACGTTGCACTGATCACTTCAACCGCAAGGAGTGCTATTGTACGGGTCATAACGTCAAACTTCTTTTAAAGGTACTGTCATGCCAGGGCCCTGTGTCATGCGACTGACTGAGCGCAAGTAAAGTGATTTTCTCCAATATTGTCCCCAAACTAACTCAATTACAACTGTTGCTATTTGGGAACCCGTAACAGTGTCTTGTCGGCCTGGTTACAAACGACATCGCCTGTTTCTAGGGAGAGACAATTCGTCTGGTAATGGGCAAAGCACCAGAAAATCAGACTTGGAATCAGGCGTGCCATTGTTCTCCTTGGCGTGACTAGTTTACCAAACAGTCTTAAGGTGTATGGTCGACACCACAGGTGTGTTTTTGTACCGCGGCTTTGTACAAACGTGCTAAACGTGTGTCGTGTATGAGTACAGCCTGGATTTTAATCCCGACCTTGTCTAACACACGGCTATTCTTTACACGATTATAGAGGTTGTTAGACATTTCCGTAGTGGGCCTGATGCCCCACAAAAGTTCGTGTCACGGTTTTGCTGCTCAGTCAGTTCCCATGACGGACTGCTGTCTACTGCAAAACATCAACAAGTTATCTTTTGATCTGTTGTATAAAAAAAAGTTTTGTGTCAACTAAGTGAGATCCAGTTACAAGTTTATGTAACAAGTTTACAGTCTTAAGGCCTCTTAACGGTTGCCCGTCGCGTACTTCGCCTTGGCCAGCTACAGGTCATTGAACCCGTACCGGCTTCATGATCGACCCGACTCCGTCAAACGGTTTGCCGCGTTGCAGAATTTACCTTATGTTTTTGAGGCTAACCAGCTACAGAAGGAAGGAGCTGGAAGATTCTTCACAGTTCACACTTGTCTTGAACTGGTACTCAGTTGCCGAGACAATATCGCACTTCAGTCCGCCACTCCAGCCACGGAAGACGCCGCTGAAAGAACGATTTTATGGACTGTTCGAGGTCGCCAGGAAGCAACTCTAACCAGCCCAAGTCATAAATTGAAGAAAAGAATTTACAATAAGTGACGTACAGGGTATGGATTCGTGTAGTCGTTGAAAACGAGCTAGCGTTAGTCGTGACTTGTCTTCTGCTATTCTAAAAATCACAGCTAGCTGTGATCTGATGAAAACTCGGAGCCGAGCCCCGCAACATTCCAAGTCGGCAGGTGCATGAACACCGCAGCCCCGGCCTCGCGAGTTGTTTTAGGGAATGTTCGTCGGTAGACAAAACAGCCCAGCCCTGAAACCTGCGGATAATATTACCCTGTGACATGTCAGAACACGATGTGGTTCGCTGGGTCATGACAGACAAGGATAACTTTGATGATTTATCGGAAAATTTTATTCCGGTTTTGATGTGAGGATAACTCCGAGACGACGGAGAGTCTATGTCATTTATCTTTTATCCTCGTCTTTATCTCTTATTTCGGTTACTAGGAAACTATTTACACAATATTAGGCGCTGCTATTGCAACACCTGTTAGGTGATGCGGTCGTTTTATCCTTGACTGAACCTCAAAGCCCTGCGGTTTGGGATCAGTGTGTTCGAGTCGTAGTGACGACACTGACATTTTTCTTTTTCTTTTCATAATCAGAACTTAAACCATGATATTTTGTAACTCCCAAAGTCAGCGCAATTATCATGTACTCTTCTACCTGTTTAAAGACTACGCTCTCTATCATTGAAGTCATGAAAACAAAATTGTGCTCCAGGCATAGACATCAAAATAGATCATTAGATGATGTCATAGTCTGATTGCAGAGGAAGAGCCGGTTACTAAGCGGATATATATTTGGCCAGAGTGTTACATATATGTATACATACTACTGGCTTTAGCAGTGTTATTAGGTTTCCGGATCCGTAATCCGCCTCTTCTTACAGCCACTGCAGTGATTTTACAACAGGGCATTAGGTGCCCATGTTTAGACCACACGGTTAGACCGCAATGAACGCACCGGTAGCTTATATAGATTGCTGCATAAACATCTATAAAGTCAGACGATTACAAAAGCTGTGAGATACACCACATGTATACATAACATGGCTTTCTCGTATTTACAAGCGTAAATCTCATTAGCGATGGAACGTAATTTGTTGTTGGTAAGGAGCTGGTATGGCTACGCTAACCCGCGGGACGATCGCCATGTCACCTACGGCAGACTAACGCCCACTTACCCGGCTTCCCTGTCGTCGCCCATTCCTGGTATATCTCCTGTGAAATCCTAGAATATAGAAATGTTGCCCTCCAAACCGTACACACAGACGGCGTGCCACACGGGGAAGTCAATGTACTGTACAGAGATCCGCGAGTCAGCAGTGTCTATCGACCCCGGCCTTCCGCGGACACCGTGTGGCTCCCGGCCCACTGACGTACAGAGAAATGTTCGGCACGGTCTCAGCGCCCCCAGAGTAAATTACCGCACGGGGACAATGGCTCTCCTTTCAGGAGAGTGCCCCTGGGGAAATAAGATCCTCAGGAATTGTGTACCGTTTCCAACGCGACGAAGGTTTGGGGCACCGGGGACAAGAGATGCACCGGTCAGATAGCTCGTCGTTGGCGGCGCACCCTGTCCTCTCGGACAAACAGGTGTCATAAAGTGGCCTGGCTGCCGCGGAAACACTTATATAGCGAGCGGCTCATGTGACCTGTACTGTGCAGGGTTGTGTTTTTGTTTAACCCTGTTGACACGGTATCGCAACGACTTCTGTCACGTTAACTTGCAACCGCATCCGATCTACGTGTGAAGGAACAAATGCTGCAATCATGTCAGTGTCGTGACTCGCGCGTGAAAGGTATCGGATTTTGATGTCTGTACAAAATGTACCTGTCGTGGAGTAGGGTCGGGCTATGTTAATACAATTTATTGCTCAGCACGACAGAAATTACCCTTTACAATGGGTAGCAAAGATTTATAATGAAATTTATGAAAGCAGAAAAGTGGTTGATAATGAGGTTGATAAGCATCAGAATGAGACAAGGGAATGTGTGAAGAGGAAGGGCGGAGCCGCTAAATTAGAGCAGAACCACGCCTATCCTTTATCGCCAGGCAAAGATGACGTACTGTGATTAACTTTCAGACAACTTTCTGTCTGAAAACGTGGGGTTTGGAATTCGATCGTCACTTGTAGACGATAACAGAAGTTTTAGAATTTTTTTTTTTCATCTACAAAATTTAGTGAAGTCGGAGGTACTTGTATTGGGACTGCCTTGTCTAGATGAATAGGATTCAACCTTTCCCCCCTCACTGCTGTACTGTATTTCTTTTGTAATCATGAACACAGCTCAACATTGACAACAAATAGTCGTGATGTGATTTGACGCACTTTCTGAAAGGTAGCTGGTGGAGTAGCAGCGCCGACTAGCGGTAAAAAATGCATGCACTTGTAATACGAGAAGGACCGTGCACGAGTGACCTCTAGCGGATGTCATAAAACATGCAGGACTGCAGACCAGATATCCCATGCTGCTTCGCGCCCAACGTTCCACATCCGGGAAGTTCAAGATGAATATGGCGGACGCGTCCCCAGCAGGACCAAGTAGGCACGAAAAAAGCCTCGGTCTTCTCACTACAAAGTTCGTCACCCTCCTCCAAGAAGCGAAAGATGGAGTTTTAGATCTTAAAGTGGTAAGTCGGTCCAGTTTGAAGGCGATCGCTGCACTGGTTTGGTTGCAATCGTCCTGTGTTTCAGGGGCTTTTGTGTCATTTTAAACAGAGCGTCTGCACGCGTGCCTAACTGTGCGAACTTCGTTTGTTTTGTTTATAACAGTTTGTGATGATGCTTTCTACAATTCAAAATTGTAAAGGCACAAACAGCATCTACGTTTGAATGTTTTGTATCAAAATCTGAGCCTGTCATGGATTATAACGATTGTATATCGGATCGATCGTAGCGTGGCTTCAGCCACTCTTACGACAACTTTTAATTCAAACAGCTTAGCGTAACCGATTGCAATTTTTTAGTACAGCTAAGCTAATCAGAAATCATTACCGAGACAGCGTGGTTTTCCCAGACCATTATGAGCTAAAGATCAGACTCCGTGATCTTTGTTCCCACGAGGTGGACCCTCCCAAGGCGGTGGTTCGGCCGGTGTCCTCGGTGTGCTGCTCGCGGCCCTCCCGCTGGGCAAACAAAGCACGCGGCAGCCATTGTGTGAGCTGGGAACCCGATATCTGCCTCCATCGGCGTGCTTTCAGCACACTCACAATAGATCAGGCCTAACCTTTAGCACTAATGGCATGTGGAGGAATACCTGAACTTTTTAACTTCTGTCTGGCGTGTTGTTTTGAGACTGGGTGATGCCGATTGCTGATGAGGGAGGTACCGCCCCCAAGTGGAGGCGGGGGAGGGGGTGAGTCATCTTGAGGGGGGCGGGGGTGGGTGGTTGTCCCACTGACTTCTCAAAGGTGTGGGGTCAAATATCGTCATGGCTGGGCCTGAGGATTGTTAAATAACAACACCAACTCTTGTATAGTTCTCACTTTCACAATCAACAACCAAAATCTTCCAGAGAATCCAGACAGATCAGACCTGTCCCACCT